TTCTCTTTCCGTGAACTCTTTCTGTCTGGTTCTCTCCCGGACTTCTCATTTCTCCCTCGTTCTCATCTCCCTCTCACCCATCCCTCCGCGCTCTCCCTAGTTCCCTCTCCACTCATCTCCTCTATCTCTCCCTTCACTATTTCTTCCTCCCTTACTCTCCCTGTTCGCTCCCACTCTTTAACCTTTGCCTGTTTCCCTCTTCAGTTTCTGCCGGTGTGCCTTGCCCTCTCCTCCACGCCCTGCCCCCTTCCGTCCGTGTGGCCGGTGATGCAATGAGGCATTAATACTGCGAGGAATGCATTTTAATTATTTGATGTTACATAGGCCTATTGAAATATCTTGTGTGAAATAACAAATGGAGTTCAAGGACTGAATTGATTAAGTTAGATTAGATTAATAAAGAATTAGCGCTAAAAGGATTGAAGATTGAGAATGTAGATATTAGAAGGATGGAAGATCGACTGTTCATGTGGGAGAGGATGGGTGACGTCACCGATAAGAGAATAAAGTTTGTTGAAACGTAACCAAACCGCCGGACGCAGGTTAACCTCTGCTTCCGTGTTGGGGCTGTGGGGGTGGGGGTGAGGGGGTGGAGGCAGAGGCAGGCAGGCAGAGTCGGTGGGGATATTCTTATCTGGCATGTGTATATGCGACTCTCCCTTCATTTTCATTCGCTTCCCTCTTTTGCTTCACTTTCTTGAGGTCGTGGGTGGCAAGTTCGGTGTTGTTATAATGGGGACCGTGCGCATGGGATCACTTAGCGCGTGTACTCTGTGCAGGCATCGTCGCGACCGAATAAAATCATCAGACGGAAAAAAAGCGATGGTAATTTCTTATCACTGATGTTGGTCAACTTTTCACCGATGTTGCATTGGATACTCAGGATGAAAACAACTTTTTTATTGACTTGAAAGTGAGATCGAAGTTATTGACGGAAATACCACGGTGTTCCGCCTTTCTCCCTCATTCCCCTTTTGTCTCTCTCTCCCTCTCTCTCTCCCCCCTCTCTCTTCCCCTTCGGCCGGAAGTGGGACCTGCTTTTGTGGCATTCTATTTCCCCAATTTAAGATGGACTTAAACTCCTTTATACCGTTTGATGCCATTTATGATTAAGGTCGAAGGACGCACCTCACCTCACGGACTTGCCTCACCTGTAATAATCAAAAGAGGTCACGGCAGACCCGTTGACCTCAGGCCAGCGACGAGGCTGCCCCGAACGGCGACCCCCCCCCCCCCATGCATTCCCCTGGCACTGCTTGCCGACCAGAAGGGGTCCCGGGTGCCGCGAGGGGAGAAAGCAGGTCTGCTTCTCTCTCTCTCTCTCTCTCTCTCTCTCTCTCTCTCTCTCTCTCTCTCTCTCTCTCTCTCTCTCTCTCTCTCTCTCTCTCTCTCTCTCTCTCTCTCTCTCTCCGGGGCATAGTAACTCTCTTCGAAGGCGGTTCTTGGTGCTACGTGGCACCGCGGAAAGGGGCATCCATGAGGTGTCACGCTCGCCGTTGCCCGGTTGCTCAAGGTTGCCGGCCGGGGTGGGGGGTGCCAAGGCCGAGGTCCGATCGAGGAATGGCGGGGCGCCGGGGCGAGTAGTACTGTCGGGGCGGGCGTGAGTTCGGCGGGCGGTTTGTTTACCTTTGGGCGTCGGCGTCTCTCCGGTTACGCAAGGGGGACGTAGGTAAAAGAAAAAATCGAATCAGAAGACAAGCAAAACCGTGTAAGACTAAGATTAAATCTACGTTTCGTAAGGGGAAGAGCAGACCGAATTTTGAGTTGCCGAACGCTGTTTTCCTGGTAGATTTGTCACTTGACTTTCAAGTAAGGACTGGATCTCTAATGAGCTGTATAGCAGACGAGCGTGCCTTGACACTTGGGTGTGTTTGTCACGCGGCAGGCGCCAACACGAGGCGGAATATTAGCTGCATGATCTACGCTTTCTGGAATGTATCTCGGTTGTTTGAGAGAGATGAGGTTGTTAAAGGCAAGGGAAGAAAACACAAACAACAACACAAACAGTACCTTTCCTGGTTGGCTGATGACGTCAGTGAGTTCTTCGTTTGGCGAAAAAGTAGAGGCATAAAGCGGAGACAAAGAGACTGGGCAAGGATTTTGAGGAGAGGATGCCGGGCAAGGACTATCAAGGAAGCCGTTGAGAATAAAAGTGAGCAGTTCTGTCTAAATAGAGGCCTGAGTGTATAGTAGCCTCGCGTGCATTGCGGAGGCCACGTGTTGGGTTTGTAAGGAGGAAGAGGTGACGTTTGTAAGAGTGGCGCACGTGTATCGGCGATAATGGAGGATCACTGGGCAAGTTTAAGAGGCGGAAATAAAGCAACGTTTTTGTGAAGCGGCGGCGACCGCATGGGGTTTATTTTTCCCGTTTTGTTTTTGTTTAGCGGCGCGGCGTGCGTTTGCGCTGGGGCGGACGGGGAGCGGGGCGAAGTAGGGAACGGGCAGGGCACGGGGCATGCTAAGTTTAGGGTGGCACGTTGGCGGCGCGACAGTGTGGTGT